GCACGTGTCTTATTACACAACTTGTAATAAATTTAAGCTATGTCTTATTATATAATGATTATTCAGATTATCGCCATTAATCGACAACTTACAAATCACGGATTAATCCGCCTTCCTCCGGTTACTATCTTTGTCGTTAATTTTTCACGTGCACGCTAATCTTCAATTTTCCAGGCGTCCGGAGTCTGGTGTAATGATCTAGAAAAACGACTTCCACGGTCTCAGGTACACGTAATGGGCATGGGATGTTAGTTACGTATTCCCATTACAGAGATGCCCGCGTGCATGCCGCGGCCATAATGCGCACAGTGGATTTCTCATTATCGATGCTCGTGATTTATGCTGTTATCGTAAGGGACATTGTACACGTAGAGTAGGACCTAATTCGGATTACACTAAGAAATTACCGTGTAGGTAAAGCATCGGTTTCTGTTGGTAGTTTCCTATTGGTCGTGAACGCCTTGTATCCTTAGCATTCACATCGGCATGATCGGTCGAGCATGTCGATTGGAAATTTCCAATCTTAAGTGGGCTAAATCATACATTTATTACAATTAACGTATTTGAAAATACAAAAAACATGTCTGTCTGTTCTGTTATAACAAAAAAATAAATTTTTTTATCTTCATTTATTTCTTGAAAATCTAGCATGTGAATGAATATATTAAAAAAATTTATGTAGAAATAAATATTGTTATAGATTTTAGATAAAATATTAATTGCAAGTCTTTTGCTTGATTAAAAAAAAATGTTATATGTAAATTGGTCTTTACAGAAATTTGTAGTCACTATATGCGTGTTGCGGTCAATATCGCGCTCGAAATTGGAATTGGATTGGATTATATTGGAATCGTTTTGAACTGACAAAGTTACTTTCATTGAACATCAATATTTCTAAATGAGGTTTCCGTACTTGAAATAATGGACATTCCTGCCATTTATGTTCGACACAATGTATTTTCCAGTAAGCGAACTGTATAAACTGTTGAAAAAAAAATTATCGCTTGAAAATATTGCTGTGATCAAAGTTATTTCACGAGATCAAAGCAACTCCATTTTCCGCGGTACGTGCACAAGTTTCACTGTGGCTCGCTGAATCGTTTTTGTTCCCGTCTTTAGCGAAGTTGCGAATTTTTCTCGCCATTATCCGATAAATTTCTCGGTGTGTCGAAACTGTTTGATGTTTATCTATGATGGCGGCCGCGTTTACAAGATGTATATTCACGCGCGATACTGTTACGAGATCTCGCGACGAGAATCATCCTGTTGTTAAAGCATTATTAAACGCTTCTCCGATCTATGTGCGCATTATACTGTCGTTTCTATTACAATTGTGCAAAATCATTGCTTTCATCTATTTAGAGTGAAATTTTCTTGCAAGATGATGTCTTAAGAGATATTTAATGTTTAATGAATTTAAGATTTTGCTTTGAAATATTTTATAAACATTTACTTATTATTATTATTAATCTCGTCACTATTTAATAAATAAGATAATAAATAAGATGAATTGACAAGACATTTTATATGAATGATAGATTTTGTTCTTTTAATGGAACAAATGTTTCTCTTATTTATCAAAATTCGTTCGCTGAAGCAGTTCTTATTTTTATTATTTCAGTTTATCTTATATCTCTATCTTTTTTCCTTCCGATTTTTATCGCGTATAAATCATTGTTGTAGTCGCTTTCACTCAGGAATCGCTCATTCAAGCGTACTTATCGACCAAGATTTTCTGAAGTACGCTTGTAGCGCACTTTCACGTCGCGCTTCGTCTATTTTTCATTATTTCCCGACGCGCTTCGTTTACCTTCGACAAGAAAAGCGCCTCCGCGTCTCTTCTTCATCCTGAATATCTGTGATGGAGAATCACGGTGCTCAATTTCGGTCAGAGCTTTTCTAGTTTAACCGAGAACCAGATCATCATATTTATCTTTAATTTAAAAAATGTTTTGACTTCTAGAATTTTGTTTTAATTTATTTTAATCGACAGAGACTTTATTCTTTATTTATATTATGTATTCTGTGGCAGAAAAAAAAAATCTACTTTGATTATTAAAATATACATATTTTTTGAATATTTTTAAAATAATTTTTAAACAAGTTTGATTTATCTATTTATAATATTGTAAAACTAGCATTAATGAAATATGATAAATTCACAAACGGCTTTGTTTTTTAATCTGTATGTTTTTTTTGGTAAAAAAAAACCATAAATTTATTATGTTGTATACTTATCTGGTTATTATCAGCCAGCCGAGCAAATAAAAATGAGGCAACAATTATAACGACTGTTTGTTTCTAGCGTGATAACAATGTCGCGTTTAATGGTTCGACACATTTCACAATAATGCCAATCTATGGTGGTGTTAATCGCGGATGGTTACTCTATCGAGCGACTGATCGCGCGACGGGACATCAAAATCAGTTTGTAACAATCGCTAATAGCACATCCTCGATCGGGACGCGCGATAGCTCGCGCATCGCCATCGCATCGCAATCCTGTTATCTCTGATCAAGAAACACAATTTATCGTACACTAGGAAATGCCGTGACCCTAATCTAAAAATAAACCATGCCGAGAGAGCTCCACTTTAGATTCTATTTCGTTTATACAGGTGCACTTATCATTGAAGCAACACGAACAAAATCAATATATATTTTTCAGACATTATTTCTTATAATATATTTGATATATCAGGAATAAAATTGAGAACAAACTTATGATTACATTTTCTATATTCGTAATAGCTGATAGAAAATGTTTATTGAACATAATATTTAATAAAATGAAAATATAATATATAGCATATATTTTATATTAGGTGGAGTTTTAATATATTTTCAGATAAAAGATATTTCAGCGAAGAAAAAAGATTTAATCTACTTCGGAGCTAACGGAAAAAATGCTTGCATTCGAGTTGAAGGTGGAATTTTCGGAATTTCGCACGCAATATACTTCATTTGCGTTCGCTTGAATGAGAAGTGTAATAATAAAGCGCTAGGCAGCGAACTTTTTTTCAGACGTGTGTAATAAACATGCTATTTGTGTGAGAGGGAGGAAAAAAGGTGCTTTCAGACTTTTCTTTGACTTGTACGTAATAATAGAGCGATCGTTTCAAACACATTTTCCTGATGTATCTAATAATAGAGAGCCAGTTCCGAACTTTTTTCTCCGCAAGTGTAGTAATAACAGGCAAGCGAAAGTCTAAAACTTCCTCTTGATGCGTGCTGCAGTAGAAGGAGAGGTGCTTTTAATACGTGTAATAATGGGGAAACGTAACCAAACTTTCCTGATGCGTCTAACGATGGAAAAGTTTCGAGAAAAAATTGAACCACCCTGCATCGCACCAGACGTTTCGGATAAGAGAAAGTGGGTGGAAAGAGATCCAACTCGAGTAGCGTGCTGCGAGGGATTGATGACTTGTGACCCACTTTTCGAGCGGTGACCCAGATGTGAGGATGCCTTGGTGTAAGATATTGGAGTTCTCCTACCTACTCCTCTCTTTCTAGCATGCTTCTCTTCCGCACTCTCTCCGCTCTCGACTGCCTCGCGGCTGACAGTAGTCGGTTAGTTCGCTCTGACACCGAGAATGTATAGCCGATTTCGTTCCTCGGGTTAAGAACGACCTAAGTTACGAGATTTTCAGTAAATCGATAGCCGATTGTTTTGAAAGTGACATATGTCAAATTCCGAACGCGCCTAATTTACTTCACTTTTATTTAAAATATTCGAATATTTGACTTGAATCTCGTTCAAAGCAAACAATTTATTTGCACATTTTTTAACTTAGATAAGTCACTTTAGATAATTATTTATATTTAAAAAAGTGACATATAATGATATGTTGTTAAGTTATTTAACGCTATTGCGCGACAAAACATGGGTTGCGTAATTTTCCTGAGAACTGAAGTTACGTCATGCTATTAGTCCGACCTGTTTGACGTGAACTATTTAAAACTGGCGTAAAATAAAAAACGTCCTTCGATAGCCGATGTTTTGCATGCGAAGAGTTATTACCACGGATATTTTAAGCGGAGTGCATTTTAAACGAGCGACTTATCGCTCGATGAATCATCGACATGATCGTTACTCCATTTTTCTCTTATGATTCATTGTATAAGTGAAGGTGATATCGGTGGAACGCATGATGTACATTATTGTATCACATAAAAATAGTCTTGATATTGAAGAATTATGTAATTGCTCGCAGGTCTATGGAATGTTAAAATGCTCGGACTAATCGCTTCTTTTTTGATATTTCTACGAGATTACATCATTTTCCTTGCCTCTTTCTAAATTTACGTTTTCTATCCAATAATCCACGATAAAAAGCTGGTAATTTTTTTAATTTAAAGAGAAAATCTATCAAAATTTTTTTTATTTTATACATTCCATGGGAATTTGATTAAACTTTATCCGCTTGAAAATAAGATCAGAAAGCCATAAAATTCTTCTTTCCCTCTTTGTAATCTACCGTTTTAAATTCACTCATATTTCACGCTGCAGCAAGCACAAGAGGAGAGAGAGAAAGAGAGAGAGTGAGAGGGGGGGGGAGGGGGAGGGGGAAGAGAGATGGAGAAAGCAGGTTTTGTCCAGGATTTGTTTATGAAATTTATGCTAAGTCAGGGTATATGAAACCCGGATAAGCATCGGGCAGGCAGGTAGGCAGGTAAATTCATCTTTGTCAGTCAGCGTTGCGACGGGTAGACGACGATGCTCTCCGACTTGTCTCGTTCCCACTCTCCCTCCCTCGCTTTCTTAGCTTTCTCCTAAGATCCTCTCGCCGAATTGTGACAGCGTCGTCGTTTGCCGGAAGGATACGACACAGTGCCGCGCGTTGTATATACTCGCTGTGCGCGGCGTCATATCGAAAGAAGGTAAGGAGTGGGAGATAGTGCCATCGACGGCAAGGGAGGGAGTCCGATGCTCGTGGTGGTGGTGGTGGTGGTAGCATCGAGAACGGGTAGGGAGACCTCCACGTCGCAGAGGACCGAGAACGGTGTAACGTTGCTCCGGCCAGCACCACCAGCTTCAGTGTCGTTTCGGCCGCGGTCTCGTTCGGTCGTTCTCGGTGAAGGGTCATAAGTTTATGCTCCTTTAACACATCACCGCGACCGTCTCTCTTCCCGGCCTACTTTTGATCTACGGAATACGTTGCGGTCTTGTGCCGAACTTGATTGCTCCAGCCATCGTTGTCAAAGTTTATTATGAATATGGGCTAGTTTGTGACTATCCTTATCCGCTTAAGGATCAGAATCAATGGAGTAATGTGTCACGACAAGTAGGAAGAGAATCTGAACGGAGTTGATAGTGCTCGAGTGCAGGTGTATCGTATTTATTCCGCATTGTTGAAGATTATCGTGATCGCATAGCATTGGTGGCGCGGTCCGCGGATATTGTAAGATGAGCCCGGCCTCCCAGGGCGCCCTGGAAGTGGAGCGTTACATCGGCAGTTGTCTAATCTCGTCCAACGTGCGCGCCGGACTGCACGGCAAGCCCGTGACCGTTTGCCGAAAGCAGGAACAATCAGCAACGGTACGCGGCGGCAAGACGCGCGGCAGCTATAATGGAGGGCAGAGTTACCCCGGGCTGGCCGATCAGCAACAATGTCAGGTGCAATACGGCGGTCCGGGCGGCTGGACGGGTGCGCCGTTGATATCAATGACGTCGAGTCCGCGCAGGTGTAATCAACGCTCATCACCGTCGCTCGGTCAACAACAGCAGCAACAGCAACAGCAGCAGACGTGCACTGATCAGCAGCAAGTGCCACCGGGCGGTCATCTACATAAAAGTCCTCTGTCAAGGTTGGCGATTCATACGCAGGGCGCACCCCTGATTCTGGCCGGACGATTTTACAATCGTGGCAAAGTGCACAGTAATAACAGCAATAACAGTGGTAATTCTAATGGTATCACTAATACGCCATCCTGCGGCAACATCGCCGGTAATTACGTTCATAATAATAACGCGAACCCGTCCATGACGAGCAACGTGAACGGCTCGACGAGGTGTCCGGCATCGCGAATCTCACCTCAAAAATCGATGGAGGCTATCGCCAAGAAATCACCGACGACGGTATCTTCGAATTCCAAAACAGCGGCGACGAACGCCGACTGTTCTTCCGCAACGGCAAAAGAAAACACTGGTTCCTCGAATATCGCGAACATCGATTCGCTGAGTATCGCGAGCGACGAGAGCTCCGGCTCGAACAACTCGGAGAACAGTTTGCCTCGCATCATCAAGCCTCGCAAGCGCAGAAAGAAGGATCGTAAACCGCCGAACAACGTTGTCGCGAGTGGTGTCGACGCAGCTAAATCGGAGGAGCCGCAGGCGCAGCGGCAACAGCCTGCTGGTTGCGGTGTCGTAGCCGGGGAACAATCCAGCGTCATCGGTGTAAAATCGTACGCACCGACTTGTTACGAACCAAGAATCTATGAAGCGGTCACGCCGCATCTCAGGAACTACCGGAGGCCACCGGTCAGCCATCGTGAGAATATCTACGGCGGCTGTAGAGCGCCGTCGATGCAGACAGAGATGGCGGACATTAGGCAGCAACGGTACGCGCACCACCGGCATCATGTGCAAGTGAAAGTGTTAGACGACAACCGTAACGTGATCGCGGCGCCGATTCGTGCCACGGCGCCGCCCAAGGGCTACCGGCATCATCACGCCAACGATAACGGTAACCTGTCGCGACGTTACGTTCATGAATACGCGGGAGAATCCTGCGAGATCGTTGCCAGAGGGGACGGTTTGGGCCCGTGTCAATGTCGATACTGCGATCCTGCCGGTTTGATTTGGGACGTCGATCGGAACGGGTACTCGCCGTTCCTGACGACGACGTTGCCACCACCACCGCCACCGCCGTCGTCGTCCGGTGTTGAGTATTGTCGCAGTCATTTCGGCCAAATACCGCTGTTTTTGACGTCGCCGTGTACGAATCTTCAGGAACGTGCGCTCGACAGATTGTTCGACGAGCACTCTCGATTGCACGACGACAATAGGGACACAGGGCCTGTCGCCGGGCCCGGTGGTGTAGTGTTGAGGCGTAGCTGGAGCGATCCGACGAGTTACTTCAGTTACGGCGAGGAGATCACTGCGCCGACGAAGGACGTCGGTGTTATCGGCGATCGAGGGGGCCAGTCTGAAAGTGGGAAACACAAACGAGCTCTTTGGCGTGGCGACAGCATCGGTAGCGCGCCAGCAAGTTCACCAGCGAACGCGAATGCGGTGGGTCCGAATGCCGGTGGTGGATCCATCGCGTCTCCGAAAGGTCTGGAGGTATCTACGGAAATCATTACGTCGCCCAACGGTCATCGGGATCTGGAGATCAAGTTCTACTCGTCGCCATCGCCCGCTGAACGTCTCGCCGAGGAAGACAAGTCGTCGTCGAGTTTCACCGGGGAGGTTGATGACGACGACAACGGAGACGATAACTTCAGCGATATATGGAGTTACCACGAATCGAAGTTGCAGCAAGATTTCCGTACGTTGCTGCAGGCGGAGGAGTGATGGGTTGTCGTTATCTAATCGAAGATATTCCCGAGCGCTTGCGGTCGCGCGGACTCGCCCGGTGGAGTGTGAAGTGAGAGCAAAACGGCGAATGCCCAACGGCAGTAGAATCCGTGGAGAAAAAGAAGAGGAGAGTGCGTGGGGAGTGGTGTTGACGATGAGCTATTTGATCCCATTCCGAAACGAAGTGACACGAGAGAGAAATACGGACGATGTTAATCTGGTCGCTCGTCATGCGCAAACGATTCGATTGACGTTCGCCTTAGTCTTACGGTGGTCGCTCTTACGTGTGGTCCGGGATCTCAAGGGGGTCAGAGCCAAGCGTCCCCGTGCGAACAACGGTGCCGCTAAGCCTCACAACAAGACGGCGTCAAAGACGACAACGAGGAGGGGCTTCTCACCGCTAACGGTGTTCGTAGTATACGTGACGTGACGTGACGCGCGTGCACGCAATGCCGCACGCGACTCACCATCGCATCGACACTCCATCTGATGTTCCACGTTCAGCGAAGTGAAATGACTTCAGCAACCGAGAAATGGTGTCGATCAGCCTTGTCGCGAGCGTGTTAGTCTTACGGGATCGGAAGAGCGTGCACTTGCGTGCGTGCGTGCGCGCGCGCGCGCGCGCGTGTGTGTGTGTGTGTGTATACATGTATACACCGGAGCGCACTGTACTAATACACGTGACCGTGCTGTCGGGTCTCTTTTAGCTTTTTAATGAATTTTCCTTGTAGTAGGTTGTGACACGATGATCGGTTAAATCGGTACTTTCTTCGTATTTTTATAAGTGTTTTTGTTCTCTCTGACACGCGCAAGAGTACTCGCTCGGAGATCCGGAGGTGACGGAACGTTAATTGAACTAAATGCTATTGAGAAAAATCACCAGAGAATAATAGCACGCTCCGTATTTTTAAAACACGGTCCGTAGTTTTCAAAATCAATTCGTAGATTCGTGCAATCGATCCATTCAATGTTTCTATTTGCACTGACGAATTGGAGGGCACTAGTCGATTAATTCTGTTGATTTATAAATACCTATCAATAGAAAATATTTAGATATTTAATCTTATTTTAATCGTCAATTACGCACGACTCTATGTTAAAATTAATATTATCTCTTATTTTTCAACGTTTATTCGTGGTACGACCTACGGCGAGAGATTATATGTAAAAGAAGTCTGTGAGCCAAGAAACAATGAACGTATAGGAATAAGGCGGAAGAGACAAGGAATAAAATGTATAACGTTCCTGATATTTTATGTATTACCAATCGGAATATCGGAATGCCTTTACTGTGCCCTTCTGTAGACGTGGGACCACTCATCTTTCTTATGCTTCGACCATATCTGTTTTCCGATCGATTGCCCCTACACAATGATTATCTTATCATGAATTTATTCTATCTCATTCCGCGATCCCACGCCCAATTCTTATACTCCATTGTGTCTTGGTTTCGACCCGAGATCGATGCGTAGAATACTAAACTATCGCTTCACGCGTAATCAGACAGCGGCTATTTTTCCTCGATGTCCATCGATTTGCAAAATAACGATCCATGCGTATTTTGACATTCTCTTCTCTACATTCTTTGGAGTAAGATACACTCCAAAGAATTTAGTAAGTCCTTTTGCCGTTTTGCGGCTTACTGATGAGTAACAGTTTTAAAAATGCTAAATCGTCAATCGAATTTGTTCTTAACGCGAACTAACTTTAACATTTAGATATTCTCGATTACGCATCGCGCCATTCATGATGGAAACGCGAGACGTCGCGTGCAGTGCTTCTAAGGCGCGTCCGGGAAAAGTAGTTTTGACCGCCGTATTAGCCGCAAGGGGTTAATCACGAGGGTTAAGATGTATATTTACACGTGAACGCATGTCTCGTCCGACAACGCACCAACACGTTCGCGTGATTGCGATATACGCCGGCTTTTTCTCGCCGTAGTCGTTGCCGCCGCTACCACCACTACCACTACCATCACCATCACCACCACCACCATCACCATCATCACCGCCAACTCAAGACGAGTAGCGGCGACGTGACCGTTTAAAACGTAACATAGCAATTAATCGGAAGAACGATGAACAGTCCGGTCCATTGCTGGCCGCCACCACCGCTTCCGCCGATCGTAATCGACGTCTGCGCCTTCTATCTCGCTTCTCCCTTCGCGCCCGATCGCGCGTGATAGTAGGTCGAACTGTTCCCCCGGCGGGAGAGAGAATCTTCATCATCATCATCTTCTTCTTCCCGCGAAAGGGGCTCGCCTCGCGTGAAAGGAGCTACCGTCTCTACTGGTAACTGCGTTTAATCGCGCACTATCGCCGCGTTTTATCGGATAATTCGATGCAACGGTTCAGCCTCGGAATCGAGCACCGATAATCGAGCAGCTAGCTCACCGAGTTCGTAACATTGTTTCGCTTTTCCCTCTATCTCCCTCTCATGCACGTCGTTTACCGTTGTGTCTGCTAAATAACGGCAAGCGGACCAGATAAACGCGTTATTGATTTGTACAATATCAATACAATCAAGTGGAACTATCGTTGCCGTCATTTCGCCTCGACCCGCTGGAATCGGATGGCAAGATATTGTCACGCGTTCCGTTATGCGATGTCCAACTCGTCCAGAATTGACGATCGGTAGCTTGAAGTTTGCATTATTCTCTCTCTCTCTCTCTCTTCATTCTCAAATCTACCTCTAAACAAATTACAGTTAACGTTAATTAATTCCGTTCCAAATGAAACCTTGCGATGTTTGATATTTAGACTTTCTTTTTTTCATCTCATTAATGAAATGTCATTGGTACTCAACATACTGCCTAAATAAATTTGAACAAGTCAGGATTCTGATATTGATAGAGATTTTAACTATAGTTATAAAAACTACGATGAAGAATCTCATCGTTAATTCGTTAAATAACTTTTTGTCAATTTTTTCCGGTAATGTTATAATCGATTGATCACCGCCACGGACCGATTATCACGGCGATCGAGATGTGACGGGTCGAAGCGCTCGAGGGTGGAAGGCGCGGCAAAGAATTACGCGGCAGGATTCAGGCGTTCTAAAGATATACTATATCCCGAGATATACTATATATCTACATTAGCGAAAGGCCATCGCGCAGATTTACACAGAGCGTAGAAGTGAGTAAACGTAGAAGCGAGTCGGTCGGTCACTTAACACACACACACACACACACACACACAGACACACATGCGCGCGCGCGCACGCACACACACACACACACACACGTACGTACGTACACACAGATATGCCGTGTCTATTGCAAGCCGCGTCGTGATAGGTCGACTTGTTCTTCTGTAAATCTGCGCTCGATGATCAAGAGAGCCTCAGTCGAAAGGACTGAGGTTGCGCGACGAATCCTGTGAATCCTACGTCGTTTTGTATGCGTTATACGAAAACTATACCACCTGTACCCGTTTCCCTGCGACATTATACGTCAGCTAAACTGACAAGACACGTACCACAGAGCCACCCAGCGTCATTATACGCCACATAGGATATACATAGGATATACATACACACATGCACACGACAAACTCAGCAAACCACCTATCGTTAGATAAGTCTAGAATCTAAGGCAATCCATTTAGATTATTATCTCCGTTGTCTATATGTGTATAGAAGAAACTGCGTTTTGTTGTCACGATTTCGGAGCATGCGATGGAAAAATACGACGACGATGACGAGATATGATTGGGGAATACAATGGGTGGATATTTTGAATGGGTGTTTTTGCGTTGATACATGTTTCGTTTTGGAGAAACGGAAGAAGATGAATACATATTCACAAATAATAGAATAATGGAAGTATTTTTTTCGTTCGTGCTAAAAAAAAGAGAAGTTCGAAAGAATACCGCATTGTTTTTCGTTACAATTACAAAACGCGCAGTTACTAAATAGCTATGTATATATTACAAATGCAAACCGCAATCGGAGAGACACAGGTTTGGCGTTCCACTTTTCCGAGATATATAACGCGGTGGAATTATTCATGAATATTTATATATAGCCGTTTCTCCAAAAAGAAGCGCATGCGGATTAAACTAGGAGGAAACCGATGAAATCTTGTTAGTATTCAGTACGTTCGCGGTGCTGGGTATACGAAGGGCAGGCCATAAAAATTCGACAATGACGACAACGACGACGTTCGTTTGGGTTATAACGGGTGTGCGCTTTGTGCCGAGTTTGACGTGGTGAGCGTATGTTTTCCGAGCGAACACGAAGAATGATATTAGCAATATTGCTTTCCTGCCGATTAGTCGCACTTTGCGTGGCAAGTTTTATTGCTGAGTGGCGACAGATAAATATTGTTCTTGGTTCCTTGTTAAGACGGAGCGTGCGCCAAGCATCGATACATAATCGTGCAATGCGTACACGAGGAAATTGCATGCGAAAGAGAAAAGAGAAAGCTTGCAAGAGTGAGTGAGAGAGAGAGAGAGAGAGAGAGAGAGAGAGAGAGAGAGAGAGAGAAACTCCTTTAATAACATCGTCGTTGATTTTTCTTCCTACAAATCGCATCTGAAGAAAAAGGCCTGCCATTCGCAAATGTTCGTTTATGTTTTGTCCGATTGCGTGCGATGTTTGTCGACGCTGTTGTATCGACGTATTTTCGGTTGCTGCATAAATGCGCTATTTGAGTTTATCGGACGTAACGTACGGCAGGAAAAGTAAAACACTCTTGGGACTGATTCACGAGCGACTACAGGCCGAGCCTATTTTAAGACTAAGTCGTAAAAATGTTCGTATTTATACATATAAACGGCCTTTCTTAAAGGCCTTTCTTATCTAGGATTTTTAATAAATATGCCCGAGTTGTCTAGTAAATTTGAATGAAAGGAAAAACGTCATGTCTTATACGTATTGCACTTATTCATTGCCAACAAATTGTCGCTTTTGCTGATGTTTTTTGCACAGATTTCTTTCGTTAAACCGAAGTGTATAACTTTGGTTTAGACAATCTTTCTTGATTACTCAACAGCGTAACTTATAATACGTTTTTGCGCATTACATTATTGTGAGAAGTATGCAGCTTCTATAACGCATCCACGTTCTCGGATGACGAACAATGCAGCGATCGTAAAATTTTATTTGAGAAATAACGAAGAGATAATACAGCGCATTTGTTTTATGTACCTCTATGCAATGAATGGCGACTTTAGTCCGGGAAGATTCAAGTGTTTTTCGACAGATAGGAATGGTAAACGTCTGCTGATTTAGCTGCGGAACCTGTTACGAACAGTTTTCTGGCGATGCATCGGTGACCTAATTTATTTACCGTTTCTCTAAGCGCATAAAAAATTTGTTAAGACGCTTACGCGAATGTCGCGGCAGAGAAGTGAGAATTGACAAATAAACAAAAGACAGAAAAAGAACGATGCGTATAGTCGTGTTTTTGAAAAACAATCCCAACGTCATCGAAGATGCTCTCGAACGGAATCCTCACTACCTGTTGACCGACGGAAATCGCGATGTACGCGAAAAAAAGAAAGAGCAAAAGAGATTTCTTTTTTTTAAATTATTGTTGTATTTACATTATTGTTCTAAATATTTAGCTTTTTATTTATATTTACCGAATGATTGCAAAATACGAGGACGAAAAACTGGCAAATATTAGGAAAAAAAAAGCCACAGCAAATATTAGACAAACGAGGAACATGGAAGGGATTTAAAAAAGGATGGAAAATGTGAAAATATTGATGAGAAACGTATGACAGCGAAACACTTGATCGACATATCTTATGGTTTTCAGAATTTTAATTTCTGACATTAGAAGAATCTGTAAAAAAAAAACCATATTTTTTTCGTTTCTCTTACGAAATCATATGATTTAGTTTACTATGCGTTTATAGTAAAATTCAAGAGCTCTAGAAACGTAAAAAAAGCGTTAGATAATGGACTCGCTGGGTCACATCGACATGTGTTTGTTTCGTATTTTTCTAGCCAGGATTTTCTTGGCTTTGATGATTTTGCCTTTCCCGATTGCCCGTCCAATGTGATTGCTTCAGAAATCGTGCTTTCCGTTTGATTTGATCTCTGACGAAGACAGAGGGAGAGACTCGAAAACAGCCGAAATGGAAGGAGCGCGGTTTTAATGATCCTAATTTTTTTTTCTTTGTACCGTTTCTTTTTTTGTTCCCCATGTCGGCCGTCGATTGTTTTTTGATTCTCTCTTCCTCCTGCTTCTCCTTTATGTATTTATTTCACTTATCGTCAATTGACGTTAATAATGTATTGTGATAATGCAACGATATAACACACCATATACACATACACACACCGATACTCGGCTCCGCTTTGTCGTAATAGACTGATCAACTAAGCCGACTTACCAACGTCGCCCATAGTGCTGTGTTGCACTAACTCGAATCTGTTTGGAAGAATCAATAAAAACATCTTTAATTTATTCGTGATTACTACTTTCATTGAGTCCCGTTTACAAATATTATAATAAATTATACAAAATAAAATATAATATCATAAATATCTTTTTTAAAAAGTAATATAATGTATTACAAACTTTTATTATTTTAGATGATGAGAGATATGCGACAAATAATTTATAGGTATATGAAAAATTTCTCATTGTTATTTAAACATAATTTTAGACCTATTTGAACAATAATTATAAGTAAGGAAGAAAATTTAATTTAATTTAAAATAAATTTAAAATTGTACGGAATTTGAGCAAGTGGCACTCTCTTAATTTTTGTTTGACGAACAATGCAATATACTTCTGATATTTTCTTTCTATCAATTAATCCATCACAAATATTGTCTTCTCTTTCTGTAATCCATTACATTCGTTAAAGTTGGCTGTAATTTTCCTGAATGGAAAATTAATTTTGAAGGGCAAAAATTGAGCTACCGCATATTCTACTTCTTTTTCTTTTGGACCGCGAACATCAATTCACTTGCGAACGAAGTCACGCAAAGATAACGATAACTCAATCATCTCCCCCATGCGTTTCTTATTCGTTCATCTTTCTTTTTCTCACGAGCGAATGGAGGTTGAGTGAAAATAACGCAGGGCATTCAATTTACTCGTTTATTCAGATGAAAATTACTGAGACGGCAATTTTGCTTTCCGCTCGTTACACGACGAAATGTACTGAACCGCATGACGTAGCGCGTATTATAACGAGTTTGACTTATGGTAAGTACGGTAACAGAGTTTGATACGTATTTAAGATTATACGTATCCCGTTGGCGAGCTGATTTATCACACGAACGGCGATTTAATATCCCCGACAGGAATAATGATATAAAACACTTAAGTCACGATCGCTCGACATTACAGCATAAACATAACGCTTAAAGTAACATAAATATTAAACGAACGGCCAGAATTAAACATGAAAACATCAAGTATTACTAGGATATAAATTAGCCATTTCAAGCAGTGATTCTCGATATTGATGCTACTTTTTATCGATCATGACTGAAATATGGATTTTAAAACTCGTAACGTAATATCCCTTTGCAATGCAAGGCATTGCAAAGAGTTCTTAAGTGCAAGCAAGATTCCTGGTTAATTACTTTTTTTTAGAAATGTCTTTCCGTGACGATTATACAATTGCGATCTCTCGTCGTGGGTGGTACGATATTATCTATTCAAGTGCCGTTTACGCGTCGTAATTCCTCGAGAAGTCCTGCCGACTTCATCGCCGGCGGTTTTACATCGCCGCCTTCGACGCCTCCACATTAGCGAACGCACTGATTCTCTCGGTTTTCCCCGGGAATCGGTTTATGCACTTGACCGACGCTAGACCGTCATTCGACGGCGGCGAATGTAATCCGACAATCTCTTCTTCCTTATCTCGGAATTGAGTAATGGCCCCTTGGTTGGTTTGCGTGTGGGTTGGTAATTCGCCCGTATATCCACTCCCTGGTGCTGTTAACATTGGCTCTTCACACATCAAGTTCTACCGCACCTCTTTTTGTCATCGATCCTTATGATAGTGTTGATTCTTATGATTTACTTGTTGCTGCAAGTATTGTGAATCTCTGTCTTTAAAGACTAGAGGAATTCCATTGGATCTCTCAAACCTTGATAGTAAAAGGGAAAGAAAAATGCGGAAATTCCTTTATGCTAGGCAAATATATTTTTATAATTTATTCTTTGATTTAAGAGAAACTGAAGGAGAAAAGTTTCCTCTTTTATTTAATTATATTATTTAATTTTCTTTTTAAATATAAACGATATTAAGTTGAAATATTGTAATATTAAAATTATTCTAAAAACTTAAAAATTTTTCTATTCAAATTTTTTGTTGGAGATAAGAGACAGCTAAGAGAGATAAATAAGTTAGACAATTTAGGTCACGCTTATGATCAGAATCTCTTGTCTCGTGCCAAATGAGTGTTCGTAATCAATGACATCTCATTAGCCGTTCGACGCTTTGCTTAACAGCCTGCGGCATGCTGTGTCGATTGAATTAGCTATCGTCGATGTCTGTGCGTGTATGTGTGTATACGCGATGTAATCCGTCTGTCTTATCGTACGCGCCGTTGCTCGTGATGAATCATTATACCGGTTGAGATTAGGGACGTCAATCATGATCGGAAAGAAAAAGGAAAGAAAGACATCAGGAATACGGAACCGGTATGCCAATGTCTACGACAGATTCTTCTGAAGAGGAGTCAATTGAACGAATTGATCGAACGTGGCGTCGAAGTTTGCAAATGACTAACCATAAGATTCCATTCTTGCAATTCACGCTTGTTATTGCATGACGAATACAGAGCCGTGCTGCTATCTATTAATTCGAGTTCCCTCGTGAAAAAATTCATGAAAAAGTACCACACGATGTATCGAATTATTCAGGGAGCAGATTAAGATGCGTCCATCGCGACTTGTATTTTCTGTTGCACGCAGCGCGATACAGTCGTTTGTGCAACATCGTAGATTTAAATAAACAAGATGATGAAACCCCGATGCTAATATATGATTTAAATTTATACGCGAAAAACAATTCAGATTAATTTATTGACATATATCAATATGTTAGTTATATATGTACATTATATATTGTAACATATGTATGTTGATTCTAATTTATTTTTCAGCCACTGATCATTTAATTATCATACTTGGCGTTTTGTATTAAAATATTCTTTATGGTATTTTTTTATTAAAACATTCTTTATGATATCTGTACAATATTTTAGATTGTACACGATGTTGTATGAACAACGCACATTAAAGACAAGTATAAATTTAATGTCACAACATAAGAGGACAATTATATAAGATGAATATAATTTATATCATTAATTTATATCATTATGTAAAAGTGGAATTAACGCGGAGAATTTTAAACATTTTGTTCCTGTGGCATATAATTATTTTCTGCTTCATCCATGTAATTTTCCAGTGAAATTCAGTGATAGTTGATCAGCATTTATATTTCATTACATATATATAAGTATATAATTTTGTACTATATTTTAATATTATTGCATGGCAGTTATCATATATTTTGACTTTTGTTGCATATTATCTCTGTGGAATTTAATTTCTCTCTTATTTATGATTTATTTTTGAAAATCTTGATCAAAATTTTATTCTCTAATTCTGCAATTATTAAATTAATTATACGAATTATTATTTTGTTGTCTTAAATTATTTATATTAACTTTTTCTTTTTATAATCTTTTAATTTAATAATAAAAATCAATTACTATTTTAATCAGATACGTATACAAGTATAAATAAAACTAGATAATTCCTAATTATTTTATTAATTGACACATATATTTTTACCGAGGGGAAGGAATTAGTAATCTTGAAATTTTCATCATTTTTCTGCACATAATAAATTTTTTTTTTTGAAAGAGAAACGAAATTCGTACGTATGCTTACACGCCGAGAGATCGTTTGAGGATCGTTAGTCAGAGTTTCACAGCGCGCTGGCATAGTTTCTCGCTAATTATGCGGCCTGTCATTAAGACGCTCGCGAAACTCACCGACGTTGCACCGCATAGTCTTGCTGTTTTTCATTCTCGGTCATAATCACGCACGCTTTGTATCACCGCATTGGCACCTTCTGTACTCGTTAGTGCTCCTTCGTTCACTCGCTCATTCGCGAAAGGAGGGAAAGAGAGAAAAATAGAGAATCGTATCTCGACGACGCATTCGCGAGTCGTAAGTATATTTTAAGAGACGCGCCATTTCCAACCAATTTGCATTTGAATACGAGCGTCATAATGGCCTGAACTTTGCATACGTGACCTTGTCGCGTGTATCACCGGCAGAATATGCCTGGAAGAACATCGTCGACGTTCTACCGCCCGTACGGTTGCTCTTAATTATGACTATTAATACGGAATGAAAGCATCCTCGCCGCGCGGACGAAGGAACGATTGCTCGATAGAGTATAGTAGAGTGCTTTATAATTTATAAGATGTTACACTAAGATATGATTTCTAAAGACAATTAATTTCTGATTTTTAATGTTTTTTATCTAGTAGTCGATAATATTTCTCGTCAAGGTATAACATTATTTTACGTTTCAATTTAATAATGGATGGACGCGCAAACTTTATATTCTCATGTATTTTAGTATGTATGTTCCGTAATACTACAACGTTCGCTTCGGGCATTACTCGCGAATAATTGATATCCATTAGTTATTCTGAGTAATTATTTGAATAACTATTGTTAGGTTGGATGATATATTCGAATCATAAATATTCATTATATCCATTATTGTCCGCGAAATGTAAAAAAGTGCGTTGCCGCAAATCACAATCGCGATTTATTTTTTCACGAGAGATTACGTAATCTAATCTTTTTGAAATTAAGTTTAATTCATATAAATTGCTTTCGATAAATATGCGAAAGGTCCGGCAAATTTACGCACGAGACAACTCATACATAAGCGCACCGCAATCGAAATATAAGCAAGAAAACTTCCTTCTGTAACGAGCGGCAATTGTTATAAGAGTGATAAGTACGCGGTGTTTGGGTAAGAATCTCAAAGCGGCGGTGGCGAAAGAAGTGCTTAACCTCCATAAAATAATCGGCGAGTATTCTCTAATTCTATTTTACAACTTTGGATGCCGTTATGTTTTTCTTTAAACATAATTGCGAGTCAAAAGTTGAATTTTGGACGACTGTTCTCATTCTGTTTTACTTGGTAAAAATTTCGATAGTTAAAAGAAAAATTGCTAAAAGAAAATACTCATAACAAACACTCATAACATCTTTTGCTCATTTATTAACTCTAATATTAAGATATTCAAATAGACATTATTCAGACATTTGTTAATTACTACCAATGCTCGTTCACGTAGTGTGTTAATTACCGTTACACGTTTACTAGACTGTTAAATAAATTAACTGTACCGAGTTAAAGTGTAGACCTGCTGTAACTTTCAGCTTTTTCGCTGACTCCTCGCAAA